CGTAAATAATACATTTAAATGCACTCACACTATTTACTATTACCTAATAGAAAATTATGTCACCTATTTAAAAATGGTACAAAAGCAAAAACTTCCCAGCACACTTACTGGATAGCCTGCCAATAAACCCAAATGCCACTGCCTAACTATTAGGGTTCAAAAGAGAGGGTTTAGTTGCACAACTTTTGCAATATATGTGGAAGCCACACTGCCTCGTCAAGGCCCCTCTGTGTAGTGTGGTCCTAACTAATCTATGAGAGCCTCCATTTTGGAACATATACACTGAGTGGCCAGATTATTATGACCACCTGACGTTTGTTGGCAAATTAGCTATAATTTTGCGCTGAAGTTGCTAGAGGGCCAGACCATTATAAATAGGGAAGCAGGTTGTTTACCACCACAGTAGAAGTGATTTGTTTCTGAAGATATGGGTAAGCAACGCGATTTAACAGCCTTTGAACGTGGGATGATTGTTGGCGCTCGGAGCCATGGAGAGAGTACCAGCAAAACAGCAGAATTTGTTAAATGTTCACGAGCAGCTGTTGTTAAAGTGTTTAAAGACTGGACTGTCAGCCAAAAATCTGGGTCTGAACGTGCGAATTGTGGCCGTCAGCGACTAGTCAATGTTAGGGCAGAATGGAGAGCAGCAAGACTGGTACAAGACAACAGAAGGGCAACAGTGCCGTGTCAGATTCCTTGCATCACCTTTCAACATCTCGTGGAGTCACAAGGTGGCCCAACAAAGTCATCTCGTGGAGTCATCTCGTGGCCCAAGGAAGTACTGATGGGGTGGTCATAATAATCTGGCCACTCAGTGTATAGCAAAAGGTGAATTGGGTGCGGGTTCACCAGGAGGCAGCCCAACCTCCTCAAAACGAGTCCTTGTCCCATCGCATTCCTGACAGGTATAGCAACCCCAAAGTCTCGGGTGGGTGCAACAGCGTATGTGTAGGGCACTACAGGTCAATCCATAAAGTAATGAAGAATCACAATCTTTGCTTGAGGAAAGAACCAGATTGGGTTCCGACAAGTTGCTATACACTGTGAAACCTATTCGGCCATGCCAATAAAGAAGATTTGACGTTTAGGATTTTGAGAGTGCCAGTGAGGCACAGGGACACACCAGAAGCTCAACACATCACAATGGCTACTTTTGGCCCCCATGTTCCCTCTGTGTGTTGTAAAATAGCCACCACTCCAAGCTCGCTCCCGTGATGGACTACAATCTCATGTTTAGTTTACTAATTTGCATTAAGAATGTACTCCATCACAGGAGCGAGCTTGGAGTGGTGGCTACTTTACAACACACACAGGGACCATGGGGAACAAAAGTAGCCACCATTCAGAAGGAAGGACAGTGTCAGCACCAGTTCAGAGGTGATTTGAGGCTCTACAGCCAAGTGATACACAAATAACATACATTTTTGTTAATAGTTGATTTAACTCCTGAGTTCTGTGTCACTTTAACCACTTCTAGTGGGTTCACGTAAATACACATCATCCGCTTGAAGTGGTTATATCACGGACACGGCTGCAGCTGTGTTCTTGGTACCATTTTAAAGAGCAGACAATTGCTGTTTAAATACAAGATCTGGCATCTGTACAGGCGCTGGATCGATTGTATGGTGCAGCGCTGTGAAACAACCCCCCCCTCCACCGCCACCGGTGCTTCTGTCGGCTTCCCGGGCTCCGCTGTACCCTGTGCAACCCGGGACCGGCATGGTGGGCCTCCCCTGATGGATTGGAGGGAGATTAGCAGGCTTCCAGGCCCTGATCTCTCCTCCGATCACTAGACCCGGAAGTGATGTGCATTACAACACTTCCGGTGTCACTGTACATATTCTCTGGCTCCTAGAGCCAGAAGAAGAAGCGGGTGAAACAGGTCTCTGCTTCATCGCTTCTTTGGGGTCCCTAGGTGACATTAGGGGTCTGTAAGACCTCTGATGTCTCCATAAAAAAAATGAAAAAAAAAACTGAAGTCCCCCGCTCCCCAAGTGCACGCACATACAACGCACACACGCGTCGGATCCGCCTACATGCAAAAATGAAAATTGTACCACACATGTTACATATCGTTGCGAGTATTGGAATAAGAGCATCAGTCACTGTTAACACTAAACTGATGAGCAGTAAAAGCATTTAAAGCGACGCCTATGGGAAATTATGGTCATTGTTGTTTTTTGCAGTTACACGGACGCACGTAATTTTAAGGCTTGACATGCTTGGTATCTATTTACCCGGTGTGACCCCATTTTTTATATTTTACCAAAAAAATTGGGTATTATATTCTGTTTCTGTACACTAAATTTCATTTTAGTGTATCTTATCCTAAAAATACTTGTTTAATAAACATTTGTGCAAATACCATGCGTCATAAAAAAATTGCAACAAGCATCTTTTTATTCTACAGGGCCTCTGCTTTCTGAAAATGTCTCATTGTTTTGGGGTCTGAAGCTGTTTTCTAGCCAAAAATTCAGATTTTATCATGTGTGTGCAAATGTAAGAAATTGCTCCGGGCAGCAAGTGGCTAAGTAGGGTATGCACGGTTAGAATTTCGTATGGATGAAGTCGATTTCGGAACGTTCGGTCAAATAGTTATGAATTAATGCGGTGTAACCGACAGATGGCAATGACCATGGTAACAAGAGTTTTCGAAGGAGCATGTTGGAAATGTTTTCTCAAACAAACCAAATTCTAAACATGTATTTCAGAATTCAATTGTTGTCTGGGAAGGAAAGTTCATTCACAAACACAGGTCACACACATTATCTATTTCATTACATCACTTCCGTTGTATCCTCTATTTCCCTCAATTTCATTTCCAAACATTGCTATTACTCTCGAATGATTGGTAGTGATAGCGCCAAATACAAAATATCTTTTAAATAGTATTGGTTTCATTTGCAATAATGAACAAAGTTCCATAGAATGTACATAGGAAATTGTACCCTACTTTAGAGACACAAATAGATCATGTTCAGATTTGTAGTTCTAAAGAGACAGCAAAATATCAGTGGACATTCTGAAAATTCTAAAGAGACAGAAGACAGAAGCTATATACAGTATATCATAATCTCCATTGAAACTATTTGGATGCAATGAAGGCAATCTCTTGTCCCACCACAGCTTCTTTTTTAACCAGTCACACCCTGGAGTCCATTTTAGCTCTGTACTTGTGGAAAAGTATCAGTACTGGTACTCAGTCTGGAAAAAATGGTAAGACCCAAACGCAGCCCTGGTGAGACCCACCTGCAGCCCTGGTGAGAACCGAACGCAGCCCTGGTGAGACCTGCATTAAGGCCTGGTGAGACCCACCTGCAGCCCTGGTGAGAACCGAACGCAGCCCTGGTGAGACCTGCATTAAGGCCTGGTGAGACCCACCTGCAGCCCTGGTGAGAACCGAACGCAGCCCTGGTGAGACCCAAATGCAGCCCTGGTGAGACCTGCATTAAGGCCTGGTTAGACCACACAGCAATGGCGAGACCCGCACGCAGCTGTGGTGAGGCTGTACAGCCCTGGTGAGACCCGCATGCAGCCCTGGTAAAATGCACGCAGCCTTGGTAAGACCGTATACAGCCCTGGTGAGATCGCACAGATCCCGGTTTGTCAGCTGTTATCTCTGTGTTCTAAATGAATATGAAACAACAGGTTCCCACTTGAATACACATCAGGGATCAGCTGAGAAACTATATAGTCAAATAAATATTCTTCAAACAAGACTGGTGTAAAGTATAAAAAGTAAATTTATTCCAAGAAAATATAACCATAATTTACCAAATGTGCACACATATGCCCCCTCCCCAACAATAACAAAACTCCGCCCTGTAAAAACACAATGCATGATAGACCAGTTGGGTTAAAGGTGAGCTTGAGTACGAGGTTGAGCAGATCCTCGACTCCCGCGTTCGCGGGAATGGCCTCCAGTACCTGATTAGATGGAAGGGCTACGGCTCTATGGATGACTCCTGGGAGAACCAACGGGATGTACACGCCCTGCGATTGCTCCGCAGGTTCCACATGCGCTACCCGCTCAAGCCTGCTCCGCGAAGGAACCCTGGAATGGTTTCCTTGAGGAGGGGGTTCTGTAAGGGTACCTCTCGTATCAGATATTTCGAGCCGCGGGCCGGCCTCTCGATACAGCGGCATGACGTCACTAGGAGACGCGGCCGCCGCTCGTGACTCCGCCCACCTCAACAGTCCGATCCCCTTATAAGAAAATGAGATGCACTACCTCGGCGTTCTAGTATTGCTAACGCCGAGCCATTGCAACTCGCCAGCGAACCACCACTACAAGGACCTTCCTCCTAAGAGAAGCCGCGGGCCGGCCTCTCGATACAGCGGCATGACGTCACTAGGAGACGCGGCCGCCGCTCGTGACTCCGCCCACCTCAACAGTCCGATCCCCTTATAAGAACACGAGTTGCACTACCTCGGCGTTCTAGTATTGCTAACGCCGAGCCATTGCACCTCGCCAGCGAAACACCACTACAAGGACCTTCCTCCTAAGAGACAACCTCGTGGAACAAATCGGAAGTACCTTTCTTATGCTGGACAAACGGTCCTGCGGGATCTACTCCTTCATTCCTGGACTCTTGCTGTGCCTCTGATCTGGTTACATCCAGTGGAAGTCAACCCTCCTAATCGCAAGTAAAACCTGCCTGATTCAAACTATCTTTCTGTGTAATACAGCACTTCAAGGTGATTGTGCAACACTACTG